TTAGGCAATTCTCTTGCCTCAGCCTCCCAAGTAGCTGGGACTACAGGTGCCCACCACAATGCCTGGCTATTTTTTTGTTGCAGTTTGGCTAGGGCTAGGTTCGAACCCACCACCCTCGGTATTTATGGCCAGTGCCCTACTCACTGAGCCATAGGTACCGCCCTTTTAGGATTTTTGTGGTTTTCTGCCTTATGCTTAAGTCTTTTGCCCATCGTGAGTTAATTTTTCTGAATGGGGAGAGGTACGGATCCTGTTTCAGTCTTTTACATGTGATTATCCAGTTTTCCCACCACCATTTATTGAACGGGGATTCTTTACCCAGTGTATGTTCTTATCTGTTTTGTCAAAATCAAATGAGAATCGATTTTTATGTCAGTAGAAGAAGCAGACTACAGATTTCATTCTAAACTTGTCAAATCACACAAAATGCAAAACATGAGCAATTACAACATAACAAGGTTTCCCCAGGGTAAAAACAGACCAGCTGCCCAAGAATAGCAGAACTATTCTCAATACCAAGATTAGAGAGAAGGTTTTCTCACTGACCCTTTACAGGAGACAGTATGTAACATGACTTCACTGAAAACACAGTGACAGTTTACATAGAGCAATTTTACGTCCTATCCCTCAATGGAGGCCAATTATATCACCTACTCAAAGAAAACAGTTTACTGGGGCCCAATATGATTAGCTGTGTGGATGGTCTGGTTAGTCCAGGGAGAGAATTAGAGTATGCAGAGGTACAATGGCTACATACCATTCAGAAAGTCCTCCATCACTATTGTTCTTCTTCACTGACCTTTTGAAAGGTATCAGTGAGTTAGAGGTTATATTTTTTTTTTTTTTTTTTTGAGACAGAGCCTCAAGCTGTCCCCCTGGGCAGAGTGCCATGGTGTCACAGCTCACAGCAACCTCAAACTGTTGGGCTTAGGCAATTCTCTTGCCTCAGCCTCCCGAGTAGCTGGGACTACAGGCGCCTGCCACAACACCCAGCTATTTTTTGTTATTGTTGTTGCAGTTTGGCCAGGGTCAGGTTCAAACCCGCCACCCTCTGTATATGGGGCTGGCACCCTATTCACTGAGCCACTAAGCCATTCTCTTTGCAGTTAGGTGATAATCTCACTGTAGCTTTAATTTATATTTCTAATGATTAGAGACACTGAGCATTTTTTCATGAGTTTGTTGGCCATTAGTATATTTTCATTTGAAAAGTTTCTGGTTTTGCCCACTTTTTAATGACTTTGTTTGGTTGTTTCTTGCTGATTTGCCTGAATTCTTCGTAGATTCTGGTTATCAGTCCTTTATCAGGTATATAGCCTGTGAATATTTTCTCCCAT